TGGTCGCTGAGGAAATACATTAACTTTGCACTGTGGACCACTGGATCGGCCTTCACCATAGACGAAGCGGAGTCCAGCTTCTTCCAGGTCGTCACATGTGGTTGCCGCAAGCCCTCCGGAAGCTCCTTCTTCGAATCCGCCAGTCGCGCCGTTCACAAGCCCGCCGATTCTGCTCACTCTAGCCCTCCGGCCATTCCTCACTCTAGCCCCCGGCCTCTGCTCACTCTAGGCCGCTGCCACTCACTCTAGGCCACCGTGTGTGACGCTGTGTTTCGTTGTGAAAGCTACGAAGCGGAGTCCAGGCAATAATGTACAACATGTGGAAAATTTATTTTTCTAACCTTAAACCGCAAAACACATTGCATTACACCAAATACACAAAATAATGTTCTTTTTAGCAGCATCATATGACCCCTTTAATACACAGAGCTGTAGATCACTGCAATATCACGTTCATAATCGCAGATGAGTCGCATTCGATTATGAGCGCGATATTGTGTAGCTTGTCAGTGTAAGTGTTTTTATTTATGTCATTAATGTTTTTGTTAATAAAGCGTATAGCACTAGTCAACTAAATGAATGTAACATGGCAAAGATGAATGCACTTTTGGAAGCTGAATGTAAGGGAAATGTCATTTTGGAATTTCTGTGGCTTAATGTGATATTGTTGTTCATGTATGTTAATGATTTTTTATTGTTGTAATTAATTTATAGCATTAACAAGATGACCCGTTGAATTCTTTTTGGAGCGATGACTGATTGAATGTATTTTTAGTCCAGTGCCTGCATATAAGATTAGTATTGACCAAGTTCAAAGGCTGTCATATGTGGATCAACTTACTATGTAGTGTATTTTCAACAGTTTCAATATGAAAAATAACTTTTATATTGATTCAATGGATTTATTGCATTTGGGGGGGGGAAACGTGTCAAGGATTTATTGCATTTTGGGGAAAAAATAAAATAAAATGTTATAATAAATCTTTGAAAATCAAAATCTGGATTTGAATTTTTAATGTTATTATAACCTAAAGATGCTATGTGAAAGTTTGAAACTTGTCATCTTGCCACTTTCTTGGTAAAGAAAACACATTTTTACTCAAATTAATCAAAATGGATTTATAGCGTTTTGGAACCAAACTCTTCATATATATATTTCTTTTTTCTTTCTTTCTTTCTAAGACTGATATTTAATCTTTATTTCAATGGTTTAAATAGTTTTATACTTATTTTGTTATTGTATTTTGTAGTTGTTTCTTGTTTTCCCCTCTTGTGTGCAGTGTCTCGGTTTTTTCTATGCCCTACAATTTTTTGACTGCTGGGTCACTGACAGACTGAAATGCTTGTATTGAAACATTTTGCATTCTACCTATGATAAAACTGTGGTAGATTTAAAGTTTGAAGGATGCTGGTAGGATATCTTAGCTGTGTTTATGATCAATCTGCATAACAGTGACTAAAATATGTATTTTGGGTATGGAAATGATATTTTGTGTTTTGATATGTGGGATATGGTCATTGCGCTACTTTGGGGGCTACTTTAACTCAAACCCAACAACAAA